TCTGTCCCTCCTCTCGACTTTTTGACACTTTGGTGTTCCTCTTTCTTTCTGTGAAGCTCGAAGTCAACTAATGGGCTAATGATGCCTATCATAACGCCTGCCATTTGAAATAAATAAATAAATTTTTAACGATACTGGTTGAGGGACACGTCATCGCATGCCTGCACGCCAGGATTGGGAGGTGCGACCGTACAAACAGTGACCAATCATTAACCTCTGTTTGTTTAACCTAATCTGCTATCCTGATCATGATTAAGCTTCCTGCGGAACACTTTATCCGCAATACTCGTACTGAATAAACGTGCTCCGCCACTTGATCCGCAAGATACGTCCTGAATAAACGTGCTCCGTGCACACTTTTCTGATCATTACGTGACTGAATATACGTGTTCCGAATTATCGTCTGTTTCCTTTATAGGTGGGCTATAGCTTAGCTGGTTTTGGAGTCTAGCAAAATGTTGGAGAATCTGCCATAGAGATTTCTGAGTTGGTCGGGCTTTACTAGCTAGCAATCCGCTACAGGTACAATCTTTAAACCGATTACAATTATTTTGACTATGGTTTGGGCCCAGTGCCTTTTACTGGCTGAATGTGTAACTTTTCATCAATCATTATTAGATTCCCATCTTTTTAACCAATTAACATAAATGCATATTTCAAAAATAAACTACCCTTTGCATATTTATTGAATTATGGACCTGGAGATATATGACTACCTATTTTTTGAGTCTGATGCGAAATGGATTGCATTTTATTTTTTTCAATCAGTTTCGAGACAACTTGTGGAGAGATCGATATGGGCGAAGTTCCATTTTGGATTACAGCTCAATATCCTCAGCAAATCAACAGGGCAACATCCTACCTAGAGTGAACGACGAAGGCAGAGAAATCGCAAAAAGAGGTAGAGGATTAACCAATGATGGAATAAACTCTATTCTAGATCAGGGTTGGTCAGAGTGAGTTGGAATTCAAGTGTATGAAGTTGAAATGATGCTAATTACTTTAAATTGAAACTAAAAAATTTCCCACTTTAGACGCATTGGTATGAGGAGGACCCAATCAGTTGCAGATATTCAACGTTCAAAAGCATCAACACCGTACTCTAGTGTTGATAGTGTATCCAGCCTCTGGAATTCCAAACCAGAAGTTGTAGAAAAGAAGCCACTAGTTGTGGGATCACATTTATACGAAATTTTCCCAGACGTAGGACGAAGTCGGCAAGGAGTGGCTGAGGCACTGAACTTTTCCATAAATTCTGGGATGGAAAGGCTCCAGCTACCGCAAAGAGTTCAGTATGAGGTAAAATATGAACTAACTCAACTTAGATATCTTGATCATTGTTGACGTTTAATCTATATAATATAGGGGAAATGAAAACCTGTCAGAATTCAAGGATTTTATTTATTTATTTATTAGCCAACAAATCAATTTAGGGTCGCTTTGTCTACAAGGAATGATTTTATTGAGAAAATAACTATCAACCTGTAATTTAAATTCACGGAGCAGTCGCTCTTGAGCTCGCGCATTCATTTCGAAAATTTTGAGTTCAAATACATATAAAATGGGCTTCTTAATCAAATTAAGGGTGGTGATTAGTATTGTTGTCTGGGAGATTTATTTCTATCAAATGACAGGTGTTTTGATAGTTATCATTAGCCCTTGAGTTGACTTCAGGCTTCACAGAGGGGAAGGAATCTCAAAGTGAAAAGTGAAGAGAGGGGGGGGGGACAGAAGAGTGTTTCAAAACTGTAAAAGAGACAGACAAAAGGTAAGATAAGTACTGTTGAAGTGGTCGAATTTAGCATACAGTGGGGCCATAGCAGTTTGAAGTAAGAAGTCAACTGCCTATCAGTAGAAATTTTGGCGTATGAGTATACATTGCCCAGGGTGCACCACGTGGAGGAAAGTCTATCGCACAATCCAATTGTCTGGTAAATTAGATTTCAATTATACCTCGGTGGTCAGTGGATTCAGCTGGATTTACATATTCTAATAACTGAGTGGACTACACTGGATATTAAACCCATAACAGGAATATTTTTCCTCGCAAATCTGTAGACGTACAGAGCGCAGAAATACTAAGCTGTTTTATGTCAATTACAACTTAATTTAAAATATAAAGTATCATTATTTTCACATCCTAGGGTATAGAAAATGCTCAGAAAGCCAGAGGGTCAGATTTATTTGGCACGGCTTCTCCAAATCCTCCAACTGCTGGAATTCGAACGGAAGCAAGGGAAATAGCCGAGTGTCACCATGGTGATGGCGTCAAACGTCTTATAACGTATGTTTGGGCTCAGAGGCTGATTAACTTTCAAAATGTGTTTCTAATCTTCTACTTATTTCTTTTTAGTAGCAATAGCCTTGAAGCTCTACCTCCACAAATACGGAAACTTGATCCTATTGGGCGCAGAATTGCTAAAATGTCTCAAGGTGGAGCTGCTAAGGCGTGCCTCAATATTTCACGCCCAAAACGAAAACCTCTAAAGGCTGTTAGACACTAAATATACTTGCTACTTAAATTAATTCAGTGGTTTGGCTTTCTTATTTGCAAAAGTCTGACACTAGGTCTAGTTTCGGAATGAATAATAGTTAATTTCTGAAAATGAATCTTGCAAACTATTCTTATCTTTTCTTGTGTTGAGAATCAGACTACCTAATGAGTCATTGTCGGTGTGCTTAAGGCGCCAGAGACTGCAACAGGCGCTATCATAATCAAAAATCGACTGCCGAAGAGGGAGAATGGGACTTCATAAGATGGGGTTGGGTGGGGGGGGGTGGACGGTGTAGAGAGAGAGAGAGCGAGAGAAGAAGGGCGGATAAAGTGTATTTTATGAAACCGGTAAGCTGGCCATTGACTCGTAGATGGACACTACCGATTAGGAGCTGCTTCTGCTGCTGTTGCTGCTGGTAGAGGGACAGCTCAATGAATAAATTAATAAGCACGTTGAATGCATTTTAATGTCGAGATGAAAGAGCGATAAGCCAGCGCAATGGAACTTTTACTGCGCGCTTTTTCTCCTCACCGCGCAATCAAAATCTCTCTCTATCATTTCCCCCCCCCCTCCCCACATTCCCTCTCCTCCAAAGTCTACTATAATGTAGTAAAATTTATCGATTTCCCAGTCACGAAGTTAGATAACTCCTTTCAACTTGAAGTGCTCGTTGCTTTAACTCGAGAAAATTAGTTTGGTCACACTTGGAGTGAGTGTTCCTTCATACCTTCATATCTTCTTCTTCTATTGTTACATTGGCCGGTGTGGTGTTCGAGAGGAAGAAGGAGAAGAAGCAGAAGACACTTTTGCCTTTTTACCTGTAGCGGTGGTGGTAGTGATGATAAATATATAAATATCGGCGGGGAAATCATTAACTATTGTCTCTGCCCCTCCCATAAAACCCTAACTGTCTGCAAATGTTACACACTTCGGGAAGCGAAAGACACCACCACCTCGTGCGGTTGTTGCAAGCTATTTATGTCGAAAGCAATTTTGACAGGGTTGAGAAGTGGTGAGGAGTGGTTTGCCTTGTTACATTGAAGTCATTGACAATTACTTGCGATAATTTAATCGATTCCCCGACGCGTTAACGCTGTGTATAATTAAAATGAAAATTTTAAAAACAGAAATATGAGCACTAATGCTCCGATGTTCATTCAAAAACAAACAGTTAATCTAATGTCATTGAACTTCAAGGTTGCACAACCAACTATTCTCTTAGACCAGAATATCATGGAGTTTAAAAGTACTGAAGCTTGAACTTCAGAAAATTATGGTAAGATTCAACGATAATTGGTAAGCACACGATGCCAGGAAACCTGAATTGAGTTAAAAGTACAGTCATTGCATGCCATAGTTTTTCTCATAACCCCCATTAATTACAGCCTTCAATTCCTTTTTAATCAATATCGATTGGGCACATTGTTATTCCAGTAAATACAACCCCCCCCCCCCAATCTTTTAACGTCACCATGGTCAACCGTGATACAACAAAGTGCCACGCCAAATTAATGTGAATCATTTCCTTAGAAAATTAACTTCAGCTAATTTAATTTCGTAACTTGACTTACAAAACTGGACTCCAATAAAACACTCCCCAAAATCCCAATGAACGAAATTTTAGAGGCAAGATTAAAAATCCCTAAAGACGATCACAAATTATCATGTCTAATTGGAAGCAGTGAGCCCGAAGATCAAACATCAAAAAACGAGTCGTGTCAGAAACAATAATCATCTCAATGCCGACAGATTTCCCTAACTATCGTTTATCGTGCTGAGGTGAAATTTTTCCGTTTAGAAAGTGTTAAAGTGAACTGGCGTTACTGTTTGCTTAGTCACCGATAGTCGAACAAATCTTGATTGCCCAATGGCGTAAAGATGTCCTCAAGTGCTACTGTGGGGATCGTAGTAAAATCGAAAGTCTACAAGCCTTGAAGCGCTGCCTTCATTTGCAAGCAAATTTCTGCAATTCCATTAATTTTGACTTGTTTTTTTGGCAAAGAAAAGCTATTCCGATTCACTCGAAATATGCTTTAAGAAAGTGCTCCACGTTATTTTAAACGTATTGACCATGAGTTCGTTGGTCTTGTAGACCATTTCAGCTAACTCTGAATGTACTCTCATAATAATTTAGATAAGTTTAGTATGACCCATTTATCTTCCCAATATTGATTTTTTAGAGCGCTTCGCATGCGGACCCTTACCATGTTAGATAGTAGCTAAATAAATAAACAGAGTAGTAAGCATAGGCAATGATAACTAGTTGAGGGGGAGGTGGGGGGTGGGGGAGAGTGGGGAGATGGAACGCTTCCATTTTCGACCGTGATCAATTTGAGTGACAATTTTTGGCCACATTCTTTTTTATTTACTCGATGTTCCAGATATGTCAGGTATATTCTAACCCAAAATAACGCCATTTGGGGCAGAGACCTGTTTAAGGGAGCAAAAAAATTGGGAAGAGATGGATGGACGAATGACATTAGAGCAAATGAGTAAGCGAGTCACGTCACGCTTGTATTGTCCTGGGCGCGCAGTACACCTATTTGTTACAATTGTTTGACCAGTCTCCCTACCCCACCCCCCCCCCCTCCACAACATCTCCAACGTCTCTGTTCTCTCGCCCTTTCGATTAGAGGCCTGTTTAACTGTCCTCCGCCCCTTAACTCTTTGAAAGACTCAAACATCTCCCACCCCACAAAATACTAGCACCGTTACTAGCACTACTCCCTATTGTTACATTCGATTGTTTTCGGCTTCTCTGCAGAATTAATAGACTGTGGACATACATAATCGTGCGTTCCGGGACGAAACGGGGCCATAGGGTGGTAACGAAACGTGGTAGAGCAGAAGTGGGTTTGAGAGATGAGGCAGGGAGAAAATGGGGGGTGGATGGGTGGGTGGGGGGGGGGGGTGGGCATAAGAGTTCGTCCCATTCTCAGGCTACGCGGTAAAGAACAATGCCCTACTTAGAGAGCTCTATTGTGATATTCGCCCGAGTGCTCTGCTAGCGGAAACGAAGTATGTTTAGGAAATGGGCTACTATGCATTTGAGGAGAAAAAATCCCCTCTGAGCCCCCTGAGAAATCTTGGATTGCCTGTGGAAGGATGTAAAAAGTGGATGACTCGACACAGTCCTCAATGAGGGTGTTTCCTTTTGGTAGAACTTAAGAATTTTTGATGAGAAAAATGTAGGCACAACTCCAGGGTCCATATTCGTATTTGAGTAAAAGAGGAAATGCTTAGCCAGTCATTCGTTGCCCCTCTCCCCACCCCCCACCCCACCCCCAATTGATGGGAATTCCGCAACGTCATATAATGATGAGTTAATAAGTTAATTTGATAACTTTTGAAATGGAAACTTAAACACACAGGTGGTGCAATGAAAGGTAAAAATAGACTCTAGACAGTACTGGTTCTATTGCTAATTTCACAATATCAGCAGAATTTGTGGCAATCTGAATAGAAAGACGTGTGCTTTTTGTAAGTGTATTTTTTGTATTCACAAATGAATGCAATTTGTTGTAACTCATACCCAAAGCAGGAAATGCTGGAAAATGGTTGTAAATTTGAAGCAGGCATATAACTGAGTACATGTTTGAAATGTGGGGTGTGCGATAGACTTACCTCCAAGTGGTGCACCCAGGGCAACGTTTACTCATACGGCAAAAAAGTCTATTAACTGGCAGTTGACTTCTCACTTCAACCTACCATCACCCCACTGTATGTCATATTGGACTACTTTCACGGTACTCACCTCACCTTTTTTCTCCCTTTATGTTTGTCTCTTTGACATCTTTGAATCACTCTTCTGTTCCTCTCCCCCCCCTCTCGAATTTTTTTCCTCTCCTCTGTGAGGCCTGAAGTTACCTAAAAGGGCTAATGAAACTATCAAAATGTCTGCCATTTGATATAAATAAATAAATGTTTGCAATGTACTCGCATTTCATGCATGGGGAATGCTTCCCCCACCCCACCCCACCGCCACTCCACCGCCATTCCACCCAAAACTTATTGGCATTTAGAGGGGCTTCCATGGCTTACCCTTGACATTTGTTCTCACTAATTGTCAACTCTACCTTTGGGGGGCGGTTCATTTGAACACTTAAATCGCGCTAATGCTACTAATTGTGATGTAGATGTGTCTATTCATCTGTGTTCCGTTGAATTACATGCAATATTTATTAAAACGATTTTACTAAGAGGGCGTTCAATTGAGTCACATCCGTCCCCAACGAATTTTACTGGGAATTTTATATATATATATATATATATATATATATTAATGCATATGCATATTAGGCAGAACCAGTGAGAATTGCTGACTCTAGGGAAAAGAAGTTTGGAATGTGTTTGCAAATGGTCCAAACTCACTCCATCACTCCTTTCCCTCACCACCCCACA